ACTCAGACCTCTAAATGTGACAACCAGTTTTAATAAAGCCCTGCAGTTCCTTTAATGCAGACTGCTTTACGGTTGCATACAAGGGTGTGAATACTGGCTCCTCCCCGTATAATGAACTTAAAGAATACTGTTTTCCTCTCAAAGCCACTTCGGTACACCCCCAAAAAATTTAAGAACCCTATAATGGAAGAACTATGTAGTTGACTTCACATGTACATACATGAAAATGTATATCGAGCCCGAATAATTAAAAATAGAACGGGGACTTCTCTCTTCTCCAAATTTGTTAGCGTATTAATTTCCCTTTCCATATCTACCGGTGCTCCTTCCTCCTTTTCCCACTTGCAGAAACAGCTGCTAGTCGACATTTGATGCTCAAATTCAGTCAGAACATAATTACTTTATGGAAGTAATACCTGCTCATTGACGCCGATAATTATTGAACTGCTTCCACTCCTCCACAAATTCTGGACCATCTTCAAGATTGACTCGCCTACTGGTCATGATTCTTCTTGCGACGAACCACCTGACCATTCCCAACAGTATTAGTAGCAGAGACATTCAGAACAGATGATTAAACCAGAGACCAATTTACACATTGGCTCAGAACGTCCATTACCTGCAATGGCTCCACACTACACATGTTCTAGTACTCTGTACCGGGAGATCTTTTCATATGAAACTTACTATGCATCAAATACAATTCTCGAATGATGCCGCCTACGCTAATACAAAAGATATCCGAAGTCTATGCATAAATACTGCCACTTGGACTATTGACTGTTTCAACATCTATTTCCATCCAATACAACAGGTATTCCCAGCAGAACTAATCTACATTACCTTCAGGCGTAACATGGTGACCTGGAAATGCGTTGATATAGTCATACACGTCGGCTACATAACTGTGGATACTTTGTTGATACTCCAGATTGTATAAATGGGTCCTTTGCGGTTAGCAAAGCTAAAAACTGAAGATCATTCTAAGGAGTAAACTGTTATGTTACTAATTAGCAAACTAAGCGAATGGACGGTTATAAAGCAAACTTTGCACACTGTGCGCATTTTGATATTGATAGTGGAGCCTGTCTGCGAGATGAGAGGTGAAAATCCATGTCCGTCTCATGAGTTTCAGCCAATTTTAATAATTTTAGGCACGTTGATGACTTGATTTGCAAATTATAACACTAAATACCAGTCCGTAAACTTCTGAAAATTATGAATTTGACGGTGCTTGTAAACTGGTATCCCTCATGTAAAACCCATTGTATGAGGATAATTTTTATTATTATCCAAACTTTAGCACTCTACATAGGCTGTAAAGTAACATTTCCTTGTTCGGTTAGCAACTGGCAGGACATATGGGAGTTTTTAATTGAGTTTAATGACATTCCTTCCATACCACTCAGGACTCAAGTCTTGTAGATATTTTGAGATGTATCAACTTGACGAAGCCTGTGAACTGGTTTCTCTCATGTCGAAACATTTTTAATGTCGGAACAAAACATTCACGTTCACATTTAACATTTACGATTCGTCGAAAGCCGAGTGTCTGTCGGATTACCTCAACGAAGTCTAACCTGCAGATAGCGGAGATGAGGTGATCAATAGTGGCGTTAGCCCCTGCCCCATGAATGGATACGGTGTTCTTAACGAAGGAAACAACGTTCCAGTTATCAATCCTTTCTATATGTCCTTGTCCCTGGGGGTCAATAAGGTGACATAATCAACCCAGCTTTTAAGGCCGATGGTCACCAGCGGGTGGCAAACCGTTGCCCTATAGGTCTAAAACGGGAAAGGGGTGATCTCATACTGGTGTTCCGTTTCCTTAATAATGACTTTGGCACCGATGTTTCTAACCTTTTCCCCTATGTTAGGACTGACTGAATCAGGAAGAATCACAAGAAAATTCAAAAGCCACCATGAAACTAACTTAGCCTGGATCTGTGTTTCCTCATCAAGCTGTGGGGGGGGGGAGGGTGTTACAGTTACGTGAAGTTTGACCAACCCTAGTTAACTTGATAAGCCCCATCACCTGCTTAACCAGTACCTCACCTAGCGTGTAAGCACCGATAACGAAACAAAAGTCAAAAGAACTGGCCTCAGAAATATATTCGAAGAAGCAATGTATTTATTTAGAATAAATATGATAGTAATGAACGGGAAGCTTAGCGATGCTTTTGAAGTGAACACAGGAGTAAAATAAAGCTGTTTACTATCACCCATGATATTCCTGATTATGGTGGACTGGATTATTCAGCAAACATTGGGGAGCCAGAAGAGGGGGATACACTGGCTAGACAGCGTAAAGGAACCTAGAAGACTTGGATTTCGCCGATGACTTGTGTCTGATGTCACACAAACTTGAAGATCTACAGGCGAAAACTAACAAGTTGACGGAAGAGGCGGGGCAGTGAAGACGGGACTTTAAGTGAATGTAGGGGAGACAAAGGCGACAAAGATACCCAACCAACAACAACAGCAGCAACAAGCCCCAGTCACCATGAGCGGGGGAAACTTAAAGGAAGTAACCTCCTTCACCTATCTAGGAAGCACTATTTCAACTACAGGTGGCACAGACGAGGACGTCAAAGCCAGGATCGGAAAAGCAAGGCAGGCGTTCATTTGCCTGCAACTAGTGTGGAGATCCTCTGCACTCAGCATGAGGAACAAGATTCGGATTTTCAACACCAACGTCAAGTCAGGGCTTTTGTATGGTTCAGAGACTTGGCGCGTTGCGAAAGGCATTTCCAACAAACTACAGATATTCATCAACAACTGCCTTCGACCATAAGCTGTGATGGGCGAACCGTTGGCAGCACGAAGTTGCAGGGACATTGATCGTGGACGCTTTTCACTTGTAGGTGGGATGACACTGGCTTGCGCCCCAGTGTCAACCAGGGGCGTGTCCCAGAATGTCTACCTGTTACGAAGAAGAGGCGGCATGGGAGTGGTTCACCAGCGATGTTAGTCGCCGTCACGTGCCGGCCCACATGTTTCCTGCCTGGTTAGCCCCGAGGGTGCAGGGTCGGGTGCACCTTCTGGCGTTGGCACCACAACGTTTATGGAACCGGCACAGCCTGGGTTGGGACGGTTGCGGTTTGGAACGTCTGGTACCGGTGCGGAAGGCAGATCTGTTGCGTGAGCGAGGTGTGGGACGGTAGGAGGGAGTATTGGACCGCATCTTTTTCCTGACGCCGCGCAATTCCTCAAACAATCTAGTGATGCGAGCTACAGCGTCAAAACTTGTTGGCTCACTTGCGGAGCAAGGGTGGGAGTCTTTGGGTGAGTCAGTGGCGGTAGACAACGCAGCTGAAATGCTAGTGTTCGGCTTGGTAGCGTCTACAATTCTGTCAACTACTTCTGCCAGCTTTGTCAAGAGGCACTTGTCAAAGCGTGGTAGGATTCCACGCACTGACTGTGGCAGTCTCTGTAATCACAGTTGCTTGAGAAATGCTTCGTCAATATTGAAGCCTGCAACCAGATGCTTCATCTGACAAAGGGGTTGCGTGGGCTTACGATCACCAAGATGCACATCCCGGAAAACTTCTTTCAACCTCCGCCGGTCAGAAAGTGCGACGCGTTTGACGAGAGCGGTTTTGGGGGTATCGTACAAGTTCAGTGGTTGGTCGTCTAACAAGTATAAGGCACCTTCGATTACATTTCCCGGTAAGCTGACGATGACTAAGTTGGACTTAGTTTCCTGTGGGTGAATATGCCTCAACGCAAACTGGACTTCCACGTAGGAGAACCATGCGGACGATCTATGGGCCCAGAAGGCGGGGACTTATGACCATCTGCGCAGGACAGTCGTTGTTGTCAGCCACTGATAAGGGATTTAACGGGGCACGACGTCGACAGCAAAAAATTACAATGTAAAAAACCAACGAGGAATGCAATTAAAAACGAAAAACCATCCCAGAAATGGAAATAGGACAAATAACTCAACTCAGGATGGGGAAAGAGTACTAGAGACAGTCAGTGATACTTAGGCCCACCAATTCAAGGGGTGATGTTATTATTCCGTAACTTTTGACCGACCCTGATTAACTTGGTGTGCTCCACCACCTGCTTCACCAGTACCTCACCTAGCGTGTAAGCACCGATAACGAAGCATGAGTCAAAAGAACTGGCTTCAGAAATATATTCGAAGAAGCAATGTATTTATTTAGAATAAATGTAATAGTAATGAATAAAGGAAAAGTTTATTCAACTTATCGGCTAGTATGGCTGAACTAGGGACTCTGAGTACGCGCGTGCCAACCACCACAAAGGGAGCGCAAAATGGCGCCTAAGCCTGCTCAGATGCTTGCTCATTAAAACAAAACTTAAAACACCTAAAGCACTCAGAGGCGAGCTAGAGATTTATTTAGTTGGTTTAGTTCAGTCTATTTATTTTAGCCGTACCTGTATTTTGATGCCAGGTACGTGCACTACAATGCGGCCAACTACTGGAACTCTTCGCCTCAGCAAGTAGTATCAGCGCCTTCTGTCAAAGCATTTAAAGAGAAACTAGGTACTTACAGAGATATCTTCTGCAAGGATTAGGACAGACCAAGTGGTCTATTAAACATATAACTGAAAACTGAAACAGCACCTAAACCTAGAATGTAACGGGTAAGATATCATGTACAACTTCTACTCCCCATTATTTGTTAAGTTCTGGAAGGCTGTTCCTGTGGGAATGGAACAAGATGTTTCATCTGAATTCCTTAAATGCTGACATGACACATACTTAAGATGGCGTGGGAGCTCAAAAACAAATTCGATTTTCATGTTTTAAGCACCACTTTTTCCTCCCTTTTCATTTGTACGCTGGTCAAAAGTCACTGCAAATAGTGATCCACTTGTTCTTAACACCGAAGGCAGTTAGTCAAAGCTTTTATTCCGTCAACAAGCATTCGAAAGCATTTGAATACCTATGGCCTTGTCATACAGTTGTTCGGCGGCATTTCAGTGTGTACGCCGCGTATCGGGTTGCTGAGGTTCAGTCGTTTCTGATGAGCAGCTATGATGCATTCCCATTTAAGAGCAATTATCGAGTGTGTAATCTCCTTGGATCAGGAGCATACGGGCGTGTCTATAAAGGGACATCTTTGAATGGGACAGTAGTTGCGTTGAAAGAGATTTTGATACCAGCTGATGATGAAGGCATACCATTAAGTACTCTGCGTGAGGTTAGCGTCCTAAAAAAAGTTCAGTCGTACAGTTGCCCTTACCTTGTACAGTAAGTTTGATCACTGAGTGTTACTGTACCTAGAATGCTTGATATTTCGCTGAAAAAGCAGGAAACTGGGATATCGATCTACATTGTTTTCGAATATATTGACTGTGATTTGGCTCGCTTCCTTTCTCAATTCGTGCCTCCTACTGGCCTTCCTCCGGAGACAATCAGGGTCAGTTGGGATTCCTATTTTGTTTATTATGTTAACATTTCATGAGTTTGAGTGACACTAACTAGTTACACGATGTAATATGTAAAATAAGACAAGGAGTTTCGTAGACAGGATTAGTAAAGACCCATGAATTTGCCTTTGTTTTTAATGTTCTAGTGATTAGTGCTTTCTGGCTATCCATACCATGAATGCGCCAGAAACTGATGTACTACGTGTTGACGGCCTAAGTGGCATGTGTGGGTCGACCACAAAACCTTTTTGGAAAGTCCCAACTCTTGCGAACCACTCGATCCTTGGAACATTTCACGGTGGACAGCAGAAAGCTATTGAATATGATAGAATACAGTCGTTAAATGGGTTTTTTGCAACCACTATTATAATGAGACGGCAGCGTAAACGAAGAGGCTGGCCATATCATAAACACCTAGTCAAGTGTCACTAGATGGTTTGTATTCATCTTAGTTGGTTCATGTTCTTCGTAATTCTTACGACTGTTGATTTAACTACTTCCTTTGCTCTGCCTTTTGTCCTGTTGCTTTTTTTTCAGGGTTCTAAAATGACCCTTGGCAACTCAGTTTTATACTAACACCGGCTGACTATTGATAAGCTAAACTATAGGGAAATGTATATCTTTTTTCATTAAGAAGCATGATACTCTTAGTGTTGGTAGTTAGGAGCCAGACACTATGCGTCATCATCAGCCATATCCATCCATTCTTAGTCCTTTTGTAAACACTCAAAATGGGGTTTTTTATCTTTGCACTAACTGGTTTTCATCAGTCCAATATAGAGTTATGATCGAAAGACCTAGAAATTAAAGTTCCTTTAGTTTTACACCTGTACATAATTCGATCCGATCATTAGGAGTGGCTCCATTCACCTCATCGGTTGAGTTGTATCAGGTTCGATGAGTGCATAGAGCTCAACACTTTCTTTTTGATTTAATTCTGTATATAACTCTTCTTGTAAATACCGTTCTAATATAGTTTCTAATACCAGTGACCATATGTAGGTTCATGCCGCACCTATTGTATATGGTTAGCTACACTGCTTGACTGTCCGCACTTCAGAAGGTGGGACTACATCCGAACCCATGACCTTCTGCTTGGAAATTGATTGTTTATGCCAATAAAAGCCGCAACTTCAGGAGTAGAATGGAATATACAGTCAGTTTAAGCCGTTATGTTTCAATTTTGTTCCACTAAATGTTACAATGATTCAGTAGGAGAGTTATTATTATTATTATTTCACCAGTTCTTCACATCACCTCGAATTAAAAGTGTCTTGAGCTTTATCTTTAGGTGCCTAGTATGGTATTAAATATTGGATCAAAATCGTGGAGGTTAGAGCAAGTAAAATCCCAAGAACTATTCCCACCTATGAAGTGATAACAGTGAAGCAAATTGTGGATTATTCTTTTGCTTTACAGAACTATGTTCACTTAGAGCGTGCCCATCAAACCTACGAAATTCTAGCGTATATTTTTTCAAAGTCAAAATATCGGTTTGTAAAATGGGTTTATGAGCACTTTCATGATTATTGAACTCTATATTTTCTCTTCGATCTTCCAGAGTTTTTCATATCAGTTGCTTTGTGGTACCGATTTTCTCCATTCACATCGGATAATTCATCGTGATTTAAAGCCAGCTAACATTCTTATCAACAAAGAAACTCTTCGTTTGAAGATTACTGATTTTGGTTTATCACGGGTTCTTGGTTGGGAGTCTTCATTGACACCGATTGTTGTTACACTATGGTATCGATCACCAGAGATTTTAATTCAGTCTGAATATTTATCACCGTGTGATATATGGGCTGCGGGATGTATCATAGCTGAACTATTCAATCTTGAGGCTCTTTTCCGTGGGGATACAGAGCTGGAGGTGTTGAAGCTTATATTCAGGTAGGTTGTGATCCCTCATCTTTCGATAATTCTTTTGAAATTTAGAGTTGTTGGCTTTCCTGCTCAATCTGAATGGCCTGCATTATCGTTTTTGAAGCGGTCTAATTTTGACAATAACTCATCAACGTCGAAACTGCGTTCATACGTTAAAACCGAAGACAAGTCTGCACTAGATTTGCTAGAAGTATGTGTTCATCATTTCTTTTATTGTTGTTTGCTTATTTTACTTTCTTATATCTGACTTATCGTAGTATGTTTATTGTCGTCACCGGGTACACAGATAAACATCTCATTAAGCACTTTAAAAAGTTGCATTGGTATAGCAGTCAAAGCAGACAGACGGACAGGTGAAATCAACGTAGAACCTCGCACACAAGTGCACTCCATCAGGTTGTCACACTTCACAGTAGTATACAAAAAGCAAGTGGATAGGAAAAGAGTTTTATCAGAGTAGGCAAAGCTGTATAAGAATAGGCAATTTGAAGATAACGGTCAGTGTAAATATCCAAGCTCTTGAAGACGTCAAGGAGTGAACAAATCTACGCCATTGTTACCAGTTTTCGTCCATTTTATCGAGTCCCCAATCACTGATTTCTGTCGTCTCGAGCACTTCAACCGGATAATCTACATCTCCCTACACCGCTCAGACCAACACTCAGGGACTTCATCGAGTGGTGTCGCGTCTTTGTCTGGCTACTGTGAACCCTTTTCCAACCTAATCCAACTTTCCATTGCAAGACACGTATAAGTAGGCGGTTGCTTGGTATGCGCAGTACATATCCAAACCATTTTAGTTGTCTTGCCTAGCACCCTTTTCTTGATCTCGACCTTTCTCACGCAGTGATTCCACCAAAAGCGAGCAATGTTTCGAAGACATCTGTGATCAAAATCCAGTAATGGCTTCATGTCTTCTATTTTGGACGCCCATGTCTCAAACATATAACAGGACTTAACAAACTGCAGCGTGGTATGCTCATCCTTTAATGGATAGTCGAATATCTCTCCAGTTGACGCTACAAGTGACGAAATCTGCCAATTGGCAAACAGATCTTCTGTACCTCAGCTGAGATTTCGTCAGCAGTCAGTCAAAGCTGCCATCCTTTACATCAACAGATCTTTAGAAATATGAAATTATTGTTTAATTCAACCATATGCAGATTTGTGCGCCAGATAATGGGCCAAACCTATTGTGTGAGGGTTGATGATGCTATTTGGCTACGAAAACCTTAACAGGTGGAGAGGATTCGAACCAGTACCCCACGGGTTGCGAATCAACTGTCCGAACCACTGAATCACAGTTCTGGGCAGCAGTTAACAAGAAGATGCATAGAAAATTGGAATAATGTTTTCGTTGGTAGAGGCCAAGATATTTCAGGGGTCACGTGCAGGTTCATACAGCTGTTACTCAATGATTTAGACTACCGAATTTCACACATTTAGTCAAATCCTCTAACCCTGCTTCATTTACTAGAGTTTTGGGCAACGGGATAATATCTTCATCCCTTTCATAGCATGTTTGGCTCATTGCTTAGTGCTTAAACTTGTGCATGATTATCTAGTTACTTTCTTTGTATGCTGGACAGTCAGGCATACATAGTGACAGGCTTTGTGGTACCTTTCGGTTACATAGAGTGATTTTTGGAATGGACCTCAAACTCCTAACCAATTAGTTGTAAGTTGACTACTCAGAGCAAGTTAGTCATAACATGAATGCATATTCACCCCCTATGATCGGTTTATGAGCCATATCATACGGTGGATCCAAACATTGATTTCTATTATTGTGCACAATCTACCAGGAAGCTGACATTTTTCTACGCATTTATACAGACAGTCACAGATCAGTCGGTATCATATCTTGAACTGTGGCTATGCAGATAGATCAGGAAAAAGCATCATTCATATTCTCTAAAGCTGTTTTATTTTATCTGATGCTATTCAAATCAGAAACAAATAAAAAAGATCACAGGATGATCGTTGCTGGCTTTTAATTCAATGTTGTCTTAATTAACGACCTAAGTCAAATCTCAATCTTCGGCTATTGAACTGATCAGCATGAAATATGCTAGTAAACGCTAATCTAACACAACTATCTCCTGTTTGATGTCACACATGGGACTTATCATTTGATCACAGAAGAATTTTTGGAAGACCCAGAATACGCAGATGGCACAGTCCTGTTATATGGAGACTCTGACAAGATGCAGTCTTCTGGACACCTTCAGTGGATATTTGAAAAGGTTTCGGATTTGTTTTCTGCCACTCAAATGGAAATATTGTTGTTCCCAGACTCGTTTTCAGCGGTGCCCCACCCCGGCTCAATAGAGAGTGTAGTGGTTGAGTGAGTTGAACACTTCACTTACCTAGGAAGTCGGATCACCACTCGTGCGTTGGTCATTGCCTGACCAAATCTCTACACGGATACAAAAGGCTCGATTGGCCTTTGCTAACTCACGCCATCTATAGCGCCGTCACGATATCCGACTGTTTACTAAGGGTCAAATGTACTGTGTTGCAGTACACTCTGTTCCACTGTATATCTGTGAAATATGGCTATGAGAAGGCTTTAGGTGGCTGACCACCGTCGCCTTGGTAGTGTAGGCCGTATTCTGTGGTGTCACCATGTAAGTAACGCAGAAGTCAGACGTAGAGTTTTAGGGAGAAGAGGTAAGTCAGTTGATGAGGTTGTTAACCTTCATCGACTGAAATGGTTGCCTTCGACTTGTGTTACGTATGCTTAGTCGCCGATTGCCTCGTCACATAATGTTGACCGAAGTAGGTTCAGGCTGGAAAAAGACCCAAGGCGACCAGACCAAAACAGAGCACCAATGTATGAAGTCTTTAATTGTTGGTTTGAGCCATGTGGGGTGATACAGACTCGGTGGTTGGGATCCACTGGAGAAGACAAACCAGTGGCTGGATACCAATGGCTGAGGACCGATGTTAGTGGCACAGATGTATACACACATTATCCTCATCGTAGCGCTTTACTGAATCTCACCATTTTCTCATTCTTCCTTCTCATTTACTACTTTCTACTTCTTTTGACCGATTTTCCGTTCCTTCTTCATCTTTCATTTTATTGCCTTGTTACTTGATGTGTTGATATGAGATATGGTGTAGCAACTTGGACCGTTACGCAGTAATACACTACGCAGTAGATCTTATGTTGATCTTAATGATGATACTAAACTCACTCTCTCTGTTTTTCAGGCCATTTCTAATGACACCAAAGAATTATCGATATTTAAAGCTTCATAATCTATGAAATCTCGCTGTTGATTTAAGCCTTACGAAAAAGTTTGAGCTTCCGGGTTTTGACGTTTTAAAATTAGAGTGTCTTTTGGCAGTCTTGACAAAGTACTCTACTCTTGTTCGTGCTTTTTTTAATACACAGTAACCAGATACTTATCATTATGTGCTAGGTTAAGTCAGAAAAATAAAAAGGAACTGCGTTCTGTAATAGTATCCAAGTTCTACTGTTAATTTTTACTTAGATGATGCCAAAGCATACTCCGTAATCATGGGAATTAGTCGCCAATTGAATCATGGGTTTGAACCCCACTCTAATCACCAAAGTTTGGGCAGCCAGGTAGCATCATCAATATCCTTCACACAAGGAGTGTTACCCGTTGCCTACTGCACGAATGTGAACAAGGTTGATGAGTACATTTCGTTCGTTTTGTTTCGTTCAACCGATTCACTTGTAGCCATTCACTCTTTAGATGTATTTTTTATTTGAGTTTCAAGATGTGAATCATATTTTTAGTACTAAGCTTGATTTGTGTATAGTTCCACACGCATGGGAACGCTCAAGTATCTAGTGAATATTGAAGACATTTTTATCTTTTTTAAGATCTGATGGCTAATGAACATGCTTTTTAGAATTCAATCTTTTTAACTTCTTGCTTCAAGATTCCCTCATACTTTAACACAACTAATAGCAGACTTTCTAAAGCGATAGTTTTCGTGTACGTTATATAGATGTAAAAATTTTCTCACATCAAAACTGTGAAACATCTTGATGTACAGAAAAGCCTTATTTAAGTGTAAGAAGAAATTCAGTGAAGAGATCTTTTCACAAATTCGAAGGAGTATAAGTCTGTCTTATTTTACTTCAATCCCTCGAGTTGGGTACATTGTGGAAACTTCATATTTATCTTTGAAAAGAGTTAAGGGTCATTCAGTGGAGTTGATATTAACTGGAATTAAGCTCCGATCTACAGTTATATCTAAGCTGTAGTTCTCTAGATCTAAACATCGTTTACTCTCATTACTCATTTTCTACTTCTAGTTAAGCATCACATACATAACTTAGTGTGTATCCATTCGTACAACAGCACTAAGAAGATTGGTTACTGAAGTCATATAAACTCCGAATATGCAAGTATGAAACGTCATTCGGAGCGACTAATGTGACAATTATTAACGTCCAACATTACTGAGATTTCGGTTGTTATTCTGTTACCGGAGTATTATAATCACCTCATAGTAGTGCACCGTTGTTTGATCTAAATGAACTTTCCAAACTTTGCTATAAAACTAACAAGTTCCTCTGTGTATATTGGTTTTTCTGGTTACTAATTAACCCCTTACATACTCTTTTGTATCCCTTTCAAACGTAATTGATGTCACTTATTGTATTTATTCCTTTTATCGGGCCCACATACTCCAGAAAATGCACATCATGTTAACAGAAATTCGTAAATGAGGCGTCCTCATTTCCTTCCCATTGAAAATAATTTCTTTAAACAATAAACCTCAAAATGTGTAAATCTTCGACGCAGGTATGTAAGATCTCTGACTTTGTCGGAACCATGAAGCTAAATTCCTCAAAATTGTTGACATACTCTTGTCAGATGAAGATGCTAACAGAAAATAGTTTTCTAAACACCTTGAGCAAAACACCTGAGTATGTTTTGAATGTATTTTTCACCTGTCTGATGTAAGATGATGCTTCAGAACCGGTTGGCACCAACCTGTGGTTTGGGGGTTGGGAGTGAAGACATCCAATCCGTTGGTCACCTGAAATTTACCAACCTGCATCATTTTTGGCAGCGGCGACATATCTGAATACTTGTTAAAGTTAGGGTATACGGAACTGCAGTCCTCTCTGTTCTGCTATGCATTCCTGAGACATTGTCATTGAAGGTGAGAGATATGAGGAGGTTATAGGTTTTAACTACAAACGTCTTCACAACATAGTTCGCGTATGATGGAATCACCGCGTGAGCAATATTTAGGTAAGGTGAACACTCACTGACCGAAGTGTCTTCGACATGTGTTGCTCATGCTGAGCCACTACCTACCTTGACATGCAGTGTTCACCGATCTAGGGTTGGTTTGGAAGAAGATATAGGATGGCAAGACCAAGATGTGACAGTCTGTGAGATCTCTGATTGTTTATTTGAGCCGTATAAACTGCCTGATTGGGATTATCAAGATCATAGGAATGAATGTTTGAAGACTGTTGGTGACATGGCTGAAAGTCTATCACAATGATACAGATATATTCACTCTTTAATCCCTTCTAAAACTGGAACATCTTCGCTAACCTTCGTTTTTCAAACTTCTCCCATGTTCCTTTGTTAACTTTGATATCACTCTTCTATTCACTTGTTCTTTGCATGCTGTTGTAAAGTGTGGCAAATTGAACCGATCCACTTATGTGTGAGATTTCACACTTCACTTCATACTGAAGTTAGTGCTAGAGATTTCGTCTAGAAAGAAAGACGATGAAATCTCCACGATTAAGCAACCCGGCTCACAGAATACAATACAATTAAGACTATCCACCTGAGCTATGAATATTCTCCACTATTTCAAATACCCAACATCTTGTCAATGTTTACTTTCCATCAATTCACTTATTCCTGGATCACCTATTTCAACATATTTCGGTTTTTGTTATCTATCTTGGAGTATGTCTCCTAAGACACTCATTCTGGATAAAACATACTATAGTAAGGTTTCTGGGATTCTATAGAAGGCAGACAAGCTTGATTACCATAACGCCTATCAAACTATCTTATCGCATTGAGGGCAATAAGTTGTATTCCATTGACTAGAATGGATGGAACAGATGTAGAATACTTTATTACGGTATCTCAATTCTGGGTTATACAACTTTCTTGATAAAATTATTTTATACTGATAGTTTTTTCATCTGCATTTTCTATACACTTACAGATGATGATTCGGTTCAATCCAAAAAAGCGAATTACAGCGTTCGATGCACTTTCATTACCATATTTTCATCTTGTTAATAGTACTACCTCTAATACCGTTAGTGTTTCTATACAAAACAATATCCAACACATTGAAACTTCCCTACATAAACCATTATTAAGGAATAATACAAGTTTGTCTCGACCAAATGGACGAATGGCACGTTATTCAATGAATACTGTCCATCCTACACAGTCATGTGCAGCTGCACTATCATCTTATTTACAAAATAATAATAATATGCCATCTTCAGTTCATTTACGCTCTTGCCTTGTTGGTGCTGGTATTGATGAGATTGATGGTCGTATTCAAGTCAGTAATGCTCAACCTAAAGTTGATACAATTCTTTCAGCTTCCTCTTACAGCCATCTAGTCAATTGTACACCTATAACAAATTCAGTGTCTTCATCTTCATGTACTAGTGATTCTGTTGATCAACATCAGCAGAATTTAATTATATCAGTTGTCAATAATGCTATCAATGAGACTTCAATACCATCATGTCTATCATTGGATAACACTGTCAGTAGTTCTACTTTACTAACCAGACGACCACTTACAAGACAACAAACCAGATCTGTTCGACGACATACTCAACCTGCTACATCGTATTTTATAGAATCCAATCAAGTGGTTAGCAGTAATATAAAGATTGTCAATCAAAAGACACAGAAAAACTCCATGGATAATAAGCCTCCGATAAAAACAGACACTATAAACTCTGTAAACACAACAAATCGTGTTGTAAGACAAAGGAAAACTGCTCGTCGTCGAACAGTTATGGGAGTTGTGCAGGTAAAATTGATTTTACTGCAGCTGTTTAGTGATAAATGTTATTGTAATATTCATCTTTTTCAAGTTAAACATTCTTTATAATCTTGACTAGAATTGGTGTGTTTTAAAACATAGGATTCCACATCACTTCAAAGTCTCGTTCCTTTATTTCAATGAACTTTTTTCTTCGTTCATATGTACTCTTACTGGGGAAGTCTTTGATCAGATATCAATAAGTCCAGGAACTGTAAATCATTGGTGCAGGTAGATGACGTTCAACTAAAATAGATCACGGGTTTGAAATCCCCCTCCACTTACCAGGGTTTAGTTAGTCAGGTGGTATCATTAACCATCACCATCAATAGGTGTCGTCCATTGCTGGGTGGGTTCCTTTTTTTCTTTCTTGAAATGTCAGTGAAACATCTATTTTTCATAGTGTACTGTAACTATGCGTGAACATTTTCTTGTTAACCTCCTACTTCATGGTAAATATATCATTGAAAGCACAGCTGACTACATTTGTGGATATAACTGAGAACTATTCTTACGTAGGCTATAGACTTAGAAATGAGTAGTCGATGAGACAGAATTTCCCCCTAAAACCATCCATCCATTGCTTATTATTGATTTGTTGAAGTTCTAATGATAAATCGTGTTATCTGTAATTAGGAGCAAAGATGGATGCTCACTGATGAGACGTACAAACCAATGGATGTATCCTTATATGGTGACCGAATGGTTGCGTTTTTACTGTGAGATACGACAGTCATTTGCCTGATACCTTCAGAGTCTACTTAAAAGTTTCAGATCAAATTAAACCAATGTTTCATAGTTTTCAGTAGGTTTTCAAATTGATGTTGGTCTACGATGACTCTGGTGTATAATTGGTCCACTAACGCGTCTAATGATTATGGGACCTAGAATCTTAGACACTATTCTTCAAAAAAGAGGGACCTCTCGCCTTTCTTGAAGATTGGGACTAGTGATCATCATCATTATCAACATAGGACCAGGCATTACTGCGTAACGACCTGAGTTGCCACATCTCACGCCAGTTCATCAAGTAGAAAGGTAGTGAGGTGAAGGATGGAGATAAGTGAATGCAGTCAAAAGAAATATAAAGTACGAGAAGAAAGGAAAGAGGAGTGACAAAATGGTGAGATTCGGTATAGCGTTGTTAAGATGAGGATAATGTGTGTATACATCTGCGCCACTGACATTGGTTCTGAGCCATATCACCTAGGGTCTCCAACCACTGGTTCCTCTTGTCCCGTGGACCCCAACCACCTAGTCTGCATCGTCCTACATGGCTTAAACCAACAGTCAGAGACTTCATACATTGGTGCCATGTTTTAGTCTGGACACCTCGGGCCTTTTTCCAGCCTGGACCCACCTCAGCTAACATTGTGTGACAAGGCAATCGGTGACTAGGCATACGTAGGGACTAGTGAGAGGAAATCCTATCTGACTCCCATACCGTAGTTAACGCTTCAGTTAGCTTGACTAAAAACACTATCACCGCTTGCTCCTCACTGTACTCAGAGCCTGTAGGGATGCGTTCTCATGCATCTACTAATTCAGAAGAAGCTGTAGATATCCACCGGCTCTTTTTAACCACTCTTTATGAGTCGGCTACGGTCTTCAACGCTTTTTTTTTACAGCAGACTAGAGATGGCACCACGCTTCTGGATGACTGATAGTGTTTTATTTCAATAAGTGTCTAGCCAATTTGTCACCGAAAGTAGCCTTAGTGCTCTCACTGTCAAGCTGCACTCGTAATGGTCTTGTTGCTAAAGCGTTTCTACGTCCATTGAGGTGCAGACATATAAGCGTCTGGACCGAAGCGTGGTTGCTATCCAAACACGTGCTCTAGAAGGAGCGCCAGTCTTCCTCTCCAGCGATGAGTGATAGCAATGTGGTCTATCTGTATCCATGGCTGAGCTGGGTGGACGCCACATCAAATATTGTTTTTCTTTATTTCTGAAGTCTGTGCTAACTAAAAAAAAAAGCGGTTACCTGAGCACAGTTATAGTAAATGATCACCGTTATCTGTTCGTTCAGTCGGGATTCCGAAAGTGCCATCTGAGTGCTTTTCTGCCTGATTCAGCCTACCCACTTGTGCATTGAAACCACCTGCAACAACAATCATGTCTAAAAGTTTGGCTTCCAGAAGAAGGCTAGACAGTTTTCGGTAGAACTCATCCTTCACTTCATCCGAACTGGAGTCAGTGGGTGCATAGGCAGAGATTAAGGAGAGACAACGGCGAGTTTCACTGTTCCTTTTAGTTCTCACTACGCCGTTCAGTCGGACAGCGCAGAGCCAACTATCAACTAGGATCCAGTCTACTAGTGAGGTTTCTACCCTACTGCCTACAACTGCAAGACCCGGAGATCTGGTCATCGAATCTCCAGAAACTCGGAGGCTGAATTCACCATACTGACTGGGAGAAATTAAGTGAATCATCTTACTTGGGTCCTGTGTGCGTGTCTCACAAACATAGGATGCATCCATGGCCCGAGTTGATGAAGAGCGAATGTTGAAGGCTGAAATGCTATTCTGTGGACTCAGATTTTTGTTGAAAGCTGCGTAGCTGGAAGAAATTAAAGATGATGTAGGATTGTCAACTGAGGGCCGTGAAGGAAGATTAGAAGGTAAGGATGAGGGAGGTGGATAGTGATTCGGGGGAGCTTGAACCTTGACAGAGTTGTAAGGGCGGTTGACACTTCCTGGCTGCCCACAGCATGGGAGGCTAGGTCTTCTTGAGTTATCTGAAATACAATGATCAGTGCGTGACCGCAGAGCTTAAGGCTGGTCACGTACTGCCTTTTTGATGCCGTGACAGTTGATATGTATTATGGAAGATGTAGTTGGACATACGTCCTGTGGTTTGGGACCACCCCTGATGATTGATCTAAGCCATCATAATGTATCATCTCTTTGTTTAAGAACATGTTAAGGGTAACTTCTCTTTGTCTAACGACTATTCAGCAGACTTTTCTGGTATGGTAGGACCTCGAGGGAATAAGCATTACACCAGCATACCTCGTTTGGTCATTGTGATATACATGCCCGACCACCATGTCAAGGTGGCAGGTATTGGTCGGGCGTTTCATTGATATATTACATTATCATATCTTTCTTTTTGTCCTGTAGACTTCTAATTCTTCGAATAAAGAAGTGAAACAGACGAACTTGACAGGTAACAAAAGCACCCGAAAGTCAAAAGAACATATGCCGTCGCAATCAGTAACAGTGAAGGGAGAAGAGACTGCTGTCAGTCTTGTTGGAACTTTACCTTACGTCGCTCTTAATCGTGAAGAGATTTATTGTAGTAAACCAGCGGCTAATGAAATCAAGAACGTTGCTACAAAACCGGTTCAACATCGTGGTCGAATCTCAGAACGTTGTCCAAATCTAGTGTCACAATATACTGATCATCGTTATCAATCTCATATACGACCAAGCTCTCGTTATTCACTTGGACCGATTGCATTATCAAACCCTTCTTTGCATTCAATTCATGAACATGAAAAATGTTTTACAAATAACACAAAATTATCTACTGATCAACAGATTTCATCAATTCCCTGTATTAATCCACATATTTCTGGATTGAATGAAGTTGAAAAATATTCATCATCATCTTCTTCACCATCAATAATCGTAGGATTAACAGAAAATCAATCATCAACAACATTATGTTCACCTTCAAAGTTAGCGCGTGTTATCAATCAACATCCTCCATTATTGGAATCATTGAATAATGTAAATTGTTTAAAAGAATTATCTCAACATTTTACTAATAAACAAGATATTACTACTTATGAAGATGATACAACAACTGATGAAATCGACTCAGATGATATTGAAAATCAACCAGCTAACACAAGTCTAGGAATTAATACAGCAATGACTGATCTAGCATTAGTCAGTAGTCACAGTAATAGTAATAGCAATTCTAGTCAATACAAAAATAGTTGTATCAAAGCTAAGGATAATATGAATAGGGTGGAGAATAGTGGGAATAGTTTTCCAATGACAACAACAACAACAATAGACAATTCAGCTACAGCTTCACTTATCACAGAGGTTCCTGCACTGTCAACCAATGTGACTGTACAACTAACAGCTTGCTCAATAGATAATATTTTTGTTTAACTATATAAATCTGAAATCTGCATTTCTCAAGGGTGTTCAGCTACTTTTTTTTTCTCAGAAAAGTATTAGAAGTTGTCAAAGCGACTGCCTTTTTTTCTTAGCCTTTTCTGGTTGAAATATCACCTAGAAAGCATTTATTTATTTTCTTTTTTTATGATTCTTATTCCATATATTACTTTTGTCTTTGTATACACTATTTTTTCTAAAATAAACAATTATCACTGCCTCGGTGTCTGAAGTCATCTTGTGCCTTCTTTTTTTTATATATGGTTTTATATTTTGCCTTTTGTTTTTCCAAATTATTCCTGATGCATACACCAACAGATTATCTATCAACCGATTTTCTACCTGATAGTGCCTTTATTATTATTATTTTTTTTTTCAATATTCTTTGTGTGCATTTGTTTGTGTACCTTGAGCGCACACCCTTGACCTTTTCAAGGTCGTACACTGTTGGCGCGAACTGTAAAAGAGAGCGCGATATTTAATGTTCATCTTTTCTTACAAGCTCAATTGCTTTTTAAAGTGAAAGATTATGTTACCTCAGTATTTTCAGGGAGAAAATGTGTCATCATTCCGAAAGTTGTACATACATTATTATTTGTTTTATCAGGAAAAGTAAACAAAAAAAGACATGCATTTATTTTTATGTGAATATTCAATTTACTATTATTATTATTACCATTATTTAGTATTGTCATATTGTTCTTCTGTGTTGTGATTATGTGTCTTTTATTGCATAAATCGTATGCGTAATTATGTATAATCAACATAATTGATACTTCGAGTTAAGTGATGAATGAGATGGTTACCGATGAATAATAAAAATGAGATCAGGTAGATTAGTCAGGTGAACAGGTGCATAGACAGACAAATGAATAAATGATATTTTTTAAAAATATTGTTTACCATAATGGATTCCTGGATTCACTTGATTGTTTTGTACGTATTCCTGATCGTATCGGTCGATCATCATCAACTTGAGCACCTTATTTTGTTAAAAAAAAAGAATATATGTATACTTGGATAATTGTCAAGTTTAGAGTAATCAGTTCATTTGGTGATGGTTCAAAATATAAGATTGTTCTGTTATACAAGTATGCTAACAAAATAGTGACTTGAACAAACTGCACAGGTGTGTAACGCTTATTTTAAAAAATTTTTTACAGTGTACCGCATAATTAGTTTAACTGGATGATCATAATTATCCTATCGTTGAGTGGGCCGGAATAATCGGTCTCTATTCGTATATGGACTCCTGCATGGATGTCTATATTCCAATTATATATTAATGATGGATAGTACGAAATGCGCATCCTCGGTTCTACTGCTATCCACTATCCATCATAATTATATAACTGAAACACAGGTGTATCGAGCCATCCACACTGGAGCCCATATACCAATAGAGACCGATCATTTCGATCCAATCAACGACGGTATAATACAAGCAATTACATTAAAACTAGACGCATCGCACAAGAAGTGGCTATCGTGTCTCGGTGGTATAGTGAATAACGCTCTGACATTTGAAGCGACCACCCTCGAATCCGAATCTCGGTGGGAACAACATCACTCACTGGGAGGCAGGTACATACAGCTGACGAGTACTAAATAGGATGAAATGCGCGTCCTGGATTCTCCTGCTAGCCATTATCCATTATAAATAGATGATCGTATTTCTTTGTTTTAGCATATTAAATTTATGCACACATATGAACAAGAATGTTACTCTCCTATCTACACGTCAGTTGTATTCATTTACAAGCGTTCAGTGAATACTGTTGAATAAAATGCCTATCATCTGCGCTTATACAACTAATAAAATAGCTTCGGTAACTAGACCGAGAGACGTTTGATTCGTTTTGAAGCAAAAGGTGTGGTTCATCGGTCAAAGCACTCGATTTTCAACCACTACCGTTACGAGTTCAAACATTGTCCCACCTATCGCTAGTATCAGTAGGATGACTCACTGTGTAGTGCACAACCATGTACATGGTTGTTGAGTTTTATCTTTATCATGTTTTGTCAAAGGGGATCAAGCAATAAGCGAGGCTTGAACTTGTCTTCCTTATGGTAAATAATTCAAGACTACAAACTAACGTGGAATTATCAGAACGTCTGGCCTAGTGTATAACGCTTCGATGTTTAAAGCGATGGGTACTCGGTTCGAGACTCAGGGGAATAACATCACTCACTGGGGTGTAGGTACACATACCCAGTCGATGAGTCCTAAATAGGGAGGAACGTGCATCCTGGATTCCTCTACTGGTCATTGCACTCTGCACATAGTCCTACCGTATCTGATTGCTTAGTCTTTCTTCTCATTCTATTCTCACTTAATGTACTGATATGACGTATGGTATCCTCGACTGTAATGCAGCATTGCCAGTTTTCATGTCGATTCTATCCCCCTATCTCAGATACTCGTACATAATGGTCAGTATCTATTCATTTTGAAATCCTTACTATAGATTAAAGGATACAATTTTGAACTGATGAAAATTAACTGAAATATCCTATAATATCTTAATAAAATGATTGTTCCATCCGATTTATCGTTTCTGTACACCAGATATGATAGATGAAGATATCAAATTAGCGACCGAAATGGATATCCATTGAAGTATGTAAACCGTTGTAGCACCGAAGCCAACTCTATACACAGTTCTGAAGAAAAGCGTCCATATCACTACCATACAGAGGCGGAGTTGAATAGTACTAGTTTTGACAGACAGGTTAATATCAACCATTATGCTGCACCTAAGTTTATTATTATGGAAAACAAACAAGACATATTGTACCACAAAAAATTAAGCACTATATCAATGATTACGTCACATCCTAGTCACACATGCGTAGAGAGGAGTAATCGAGCCATCCAGTTGAGGGTGGGAGAACATGTAGTTAAACGGCTTCAATAACAAATGGAATGTGAAACCGTGATAAACGATGGTGGGAGATGATCCTTTTAATCGATAGCTAAACATAGTATAGAAACAGGTCACAGAATTAATACTCAAACAGCTTTCAAAGTTTTATATGGAGACATTCAGTCAGGGATGCCAACTGAGATTTGTGGACGCGATAACCACCCACAAACTGAAACCACTTTTATGTGTACAAAAACACTATACCCGCCTTGCTTGGTAAGCTTTGTTTTCTTACCAAGATTGGGACCGACTATGATGTCACTTTACTCCATTTTTATTCTCATCTTTCGTAATTTTCAACAATGCAAGAGCAAAGACATTTGTATGGTAGCAATGTCTTTAAGAGCGCAATCTCCAGGCATCTGAGGAAGATTGATGTTTCTCAATCCTTCATGATAATCAATCAACAAAGAACGCGATGTTTATTACAGTTTGCGGAAGCGCTCGCTATCAAACCTGACCCATATATTCAGAAGGAGACTGTAATTAATCTTTACCTTAGTGACTGTATATGATTTCCGCATGTGTATGTATATAGTCCTCCCTTTTCTTTTGGTTGCATCATCTTCATTAATTACTTACTGACTGTTAATCACTTAACGATTTTCCAGTTTTTCATGCAATTACTAACAGCATAGAATGGCAGTCAACTCTTTACCTCAACTTTATCGACTTTGATAGCGTCGACCGAGAAGTAATTCAACAACTGCTTCAACGCTACGGTTTTAGTGCTAAAAACCATTATCAAACTCATTCAACAGCTAGATGCTACATGCCAAGTGATTGACAATGGAAAGCTCAGCGATACATTTGAAGTGAAGACAAGAGTAAGACAAGGCTGCCTATTATCATCTTCCTGATTGTGGTGAACTGGATCATGAAACAGACAACTATGAGGAGCGAGGAGATGGGCATACGCTGTCGCGCTGATGAAAAGAGCCTAGAAGATTTGGGTTTCGCCGATGATGATCTGTCTAATGTCTTGTGGCACAAACTCGAAGATCTACAGATAAAAGCCAACAAGTTGACAAAAGAAGCGGCGAAAGAAGATAGGACCTCCTTCAAGTGAACCTAGAGAAGACAGTGGTGATGCAGATACCCAAACACCACCACCAACAACAAGCATCAATCACCATGAACGGGAGAAATCTACAAGAAGTTATGTCTTTCACCTACCACCTAGGCGGCATCGTTTCAACTACAGGCGGTGGCACAAATGAGGACGTCAAAGCTAGGATCGGAAAGACACTAAGATAGGCCTTTCTTCATTCATTTGAAATCAGTGTGAAGATCTACTGTACTCCATTCAGCTTAAAGAACAAGATCTGGATTTTCAACACTTATGTCAGTCAAGTCAGTGCTTCTATATGATGGTCGAGAGACTTGGCGTGTTACGAAAAGCATTTGCAACAAACTGCAGACATACACGATGAACAGCTGCCGCCTACGCTAACTCGATGCTGACACTGAAGATCAGATTGCCAGAATAATGAGTTCAAGCAACAAGGAACTCTGGCTGACAACGAACCAACCAACAACCTATCGTCCAACAAATATGGACATATACTGAGAAGACGGTTTTGGGACGTCACGCGCCAGACCCTCGAGAGGAAGCCAGATGGCAAACGACGAGTTGGGCGTCCGAGCTGAGAGTGACATGGAGGAGATTGTGTGAGGGAGAAATGAAACCTTATGGACAGTTGTGGAGCCAGGTTCAAAAGACTGCAGAGAACAGAGTGCAATGGAGACGTACTACTGAAGCCCTATGTTCCACTAGGAAACCAAGGGACAAATAATAATAATAATGTAACCTGTTATGTTCTAAACAATCCCCTCTTTTACACTGATTTTCTTTTCTTAACCCTCCCCTCCCTCGTCACTCCACAGCTCCGGAATTTTCTATCTCTCAATTGTAGGATGTTTGCAGCTGATGAAACGCAATGAAATAAGATGAGCTCATTCTATTCTGTAAATGTTTTTGTTCTTGCACTGTTGAAATTTGTCAAGGAAGCTAAGTGTATAACATTTTCTAATTTTAATCCCCTGCTTATCTTAATTGTTGTATTTATCCTCGACTTGAGACAAGTAAATGTGTGTGTGTGGGGGGGGGGGATCACATTGTTCGAAATGTGTATTGCGCAAAAACATCACACACATTGTTCATATACACTTTGTCTCCTAGTTACACTATCTCAATTATTTCAGACAGATTAATTAAACTAACTGTCATAGTCTTAACTTGTGTATTGACCATATCAAGAATGATCGGTCACTGAAGTCAATAAAACTGATTTGTAGTAGGATTACAAGATTAGTTTCCAAATAGAAGCCATTTTGGGATCCTATAAGTGACAGGAATTTTTTGAAATGTGAACTGGAACTGTTCCAATAGAAGAAGCTGATTTCAGAATAGTAGGTGTATAAAGTGAAGGATTTATCATTCACCGAATAAAGTTTATTCTAATCGTTAATGTCTCTTGAAAGTCAGACATTGCAGTAATAGAGCTAATATCATCCATTATCATTAGTAGGTATATTCATTTTCTAGGTTTAACATAACAATGGATCAACAGATGGGTGATTCAAGCATCTATTTCCTATTGAGTTGTTTACAGGCATTTCCACAGTCAAGAAGTCGTTATCACTTGCTTCTAAGCACAGTTAAATGTCTTTTAAAAAAAAAGAATTGTCAAGGTAAGGAAATGAGATCTACTTAGCAATGTGTTGTCTTAATAGTCTGATATATTTTGCTATTGAACATTGAAATTCTAACCCACGTCACCCATACACACTACACCATAAACTTCAACACTGGCATCAGTGATTACGTTACATTCCATTGTGCTTACCAATTTACATGTGTATGTGATCACACATACATAGGGAGGAGTAGTCAAGCCATCCAGTTGAGAGTGGAAGAATATGTACCCAAATTGTTTCAAAAACAAATCGAGTTTGAAAGTATGATAAACGCTGGTGGGAGAAAACTTTCTTCATCTATGAAATTACTGTTAAAAAAAAGCTTTCAGAGGTTTATATATCGAAATAGTCAATCTGAGGAAGCGATAACTAACAACAACTATTATACATCCATGGTATTCATAAAAATAGTTAACTAACCACTTAGTGAAAATCCTGAAGCATGTAAATCTCTATGACCATGCACTATACGTGTGCTATTCGATGAGCTCTGTACTGTTTCGATATTCATTTGTTCATTGGTATTAGTTGATATAATTGCATTATTGTTACTATCATTATGAGATGTGTTCAATGTAGATGATTGTGATGAATTCAATTCTTCGCTTAAATTATTCATTGTCCAAGGTTCACGATTCACTGGGATTTGATTTCTTTTACGTAACTAATGGTAAATGGATTATGGACAGAGTTGTTTTTTTTCGATTAAAAAAAAAGTTGAATAAAAATAATGAAAAATATATAACGTTTTGACGATTACCAACAAACGGGAAATCGAGGCTCAGGTCTTCTTACCAATTACCTCCAACCAAGTGAAATCAGTCAAACTCCATCATGATACTGAGTTCTCTAAGCTTGGTGACCACTGCATAAAAAAAAGGCTGGAGGAATTCATTCAGCACCCAGCATTAGACATTATAAAAGTGATCACACTTCAATGACCAGTTTATGTATCTAATCCGGTCTTACATAAGATCATTCGCAAGGCGTATGACTCCAGGACTATGTGACGTGGGTTCGAACACCTTCGGTGATATCACGTCTCTTGAGGTTGCAGATACACCTTGCTAATGAGTACTAACAATCAACAAACCTACATCGATCGGCGCCTCCATCTGTTTGCGTCGAACTATTCGACAAATTTCACCTTCATATAAGACCACAATTCAAGATTTGGCAGAACTTCGCCTATAGAACAACGAATTTGATGGGTCTTGTATCTGAAGTGAACCTAATCAGTTTAACTGACAAAATCAAAGTAAGGCCTCACACACACACGTTCATCACCTCAAGTTACCACACTTCACAGAAGTACACAAAAAACATGTGGATAGAACGAGAATGATATCAAAGTAGAGAAAGTCGTATGTAAAGATAAAGGTAAGTGTGAATATTGAAGCTTTAGAACATGTCAAGGAGTGAATACATCTGCGTTACTGTGACCGGTTTTCAGCCGTGTCACCAACTGTCTCCACCCATTGATTTGTTTCATCTCAGTGACCTCAACTAGGCAGTCTACATCTCCGCACATCAACAGTCAGGGACTTTATCGATTGGTGTTAGGTCTTAGTCTAGCCAACCTGAACCCCTTCTCTAACCTAATCCACCTTCCTTTAGCAGGGCATATGGAGGTAGGTGGGTTCGAAAGACCATGAAATTTGTCACCACATTCACCTAACAGCACAACATCGTCTGCATATTTCAATTCAATTAGATGATTACCAGGTGGTCCCTATGATATAGTCCCTATAAATTCAGATATACTTGCTGGTTTTCTCGAGTTTGCTGTTCTCCAGCTCAAGTTAGGCGTTAGATGCCTGTGAACTGTAAGGTCTCGGAGTTGTCACAAGAAGATTTCTCCCCCGTCTTATAGACTATGTATATTGGGACTACAAAGTTAAATATTTAACTCTGAAAAGCATTTGCAATGATAGGATGAAAATTCCCATTCAGACAATTAGGATACCGATATCTTTATGACAAAATTGGAAAGTCTACCACTGCATAGCACGATAGATAAACACTCCTTCTATTGTAGATACATGGTTGACACTTTCATTCTCTACAAAAATTATACTAATCCTGACATTCTTCTCCTCGATACATTCAACACTGTTCATCCAGAAATCGAGTTCACATATGAAACAGAGAAAGATGAATGTCTGCCATTTCTAAATTTTTTTGCTTTCGAGAGGAACAAATGGTAGTAACAGACGCAGTATTTATCGTATGAAATCATGGGTTGGTCAGTACACACATTTCCGATCATTTGTCTCCCTTACGTACACAAAAGGAATTTAATTCATACACTAATATTTCGAGACAGTAAAATTTGCACAGCTGATACTTTGAACGATGAATTAAGAATAATAGAGAACTCCTTATATGAGAACAGTTATCCTGAAAATTTCGTAAATGCTTTAATAAGGGAAACAGCTGGAGAAAGCGCCTTCAAACTGTACCGAAGAAATGATTGTATCTAACCTTAGAGTTCAAACGAGATGCAGATGCAGAAACACTGACACTGAAACTCAGAAATCTGGCACAAACAACCTTCTTTGCTGCAACATTATGTTTGCAGTTTACTACACCCTGTATGATGCCAATACAGTTGAAGGATAGACTTCCGAATCTGGCCACACCTATGTGCATTTGTAAATCTAACCATTCCTGTGGAGATAGTTACATAGGTAGAACGACTCGGCAAACGCATCATCGTTTCATTGAACACTGTTCAGTGTGATTAGGCAAAAGAACAGTGAAATCCATTAAAAGTTCAATACTCACCCATCTTGTTGATACCGAGTGTAAGATTAACAAAACCTCAGTATTTAATATTACTTACAAATTCCCATCACAATACTCCAAGTTTGTGCGCCTCCAACTAGCAAGCCTAGGAGAAACCAACGTATGTATTCAAAAGATGTGTGTTCGTTCTCTTTCCTTCTCATGACCTTCAACTTCAACACAGATAGAATTACAGCAAATTCCTTCTCGGTCATCCATATAAATAAATGTGAATATTATCTCTGTTTGTACTCTGATCATTATCATTTCATTTTTCGCCCCTAGTTTCATAACTGATTAAGATCATTTTATTATCTAATCGCTATGCCACAATAATTCCATTTCCCTGTATCCCCGAACACACACACACAAACACACAATTCACTACTCACACACCTACAACGATTGATTATTGAGAATCGACAAACTTTCCAAGATTTTCTTTTGTTATTATCACCTTGACTGTCCTTAATCTTGTAAAAGTTATATACCCGAATTAATTTAACCATGGTGATATCAAATAAAGACTATGCTGGATAAATTGTGAATGTAAATGTAAAGCCTGACTAGAATTTACCGAAAATATGTATTCACTTCATATTCCGTCTTCTGATCAGAATACAGCAAACTAAGTGAAGAAATATTATTCTGTAACTAGCTCCTCATCATCCACTCTATTCTAATATGTACAAGTATAGTGTTATTGCTTGTATTACACCGTCGTTGATTGGACCGAATTGATCCGTGTCTGTTGGCATATGGGCCTCTATGCGGATGCCTCGATATTGCCTGTCTTTTAACTATGTTTAGTCAGGATGGGCAGTGGCTAGCAGTGGAATCCAGGACGTGCATTTCGTCCTATTTGGGACTCGTCAGCTGGATGTACCTGCCTCCTAGTGAGTGATGTTGTTCCCACCGGGACTCGGACTCGGGAGCGATCGCTTCAAACGCCAGCGCGTTATCCACTACACCACCGAGCCAAGATGGCCACTTCTTGTGCGACGGGTATAGGTTTGGTGTCATTGCTTGTATTACACCGTCGTTGATTGGACCGAATTGATCAGTCTCTGTTGGCATATGGGCTCCTATGTGGATGCCTCAATATTGCCTGTCTCTTAACTATGTTTAGTAATGATGGGTGGGAACAACATCACCCACTGGGAACCAGGTACATCCAGCTGACGAGTCCCAAATAGGACGAAATGCGCATCCTGGATTCCACTGCTAGTCACTGTCCATCATTACTAAATATATAAGTATCGTTGAGAAGAAAAAAGTGTATAGAAAAATCAATATAATGATAATGGATTGAATGGAATGTAAGTTTTGATATTGTAAAATACCCTCAGCCCATGGAACAGTAAATCGTCGTCATCTTTAGCTAAAAATATTTTATTTTTATTTGATATCAAATTCTTAAATTTATTATAGATAAAGAAATGAGAAGAGGAAGAAGTTAAGTGTTCAGATTATACTATAAAGGAAGAGTTTAATACTATCCATGATATACTCAGTTGAAATAGATATCCAGTCAAGCTGTTATTAAAGAAAAAGAAACTAACTAACAGAAAGTAGAATAGGCTGGCTGAATTCAGGAAGAACAAGTCAGGTCCCGATCATTCGCAACATTATGCATTATCTCTAGAATAGAGTATAGAATGGCAATCTATTCTGTATCTCAACTTCATCGACTTTGAAAAGGCCTTCGACAGCGTCGACTAATTTGGCAGTTGCTTCAACACTATGGAGTGCCACTAGTCTTTATCAACCTCATTCAACAGCTATATGAAGACGCCACATGCCAAGTAATTCACAATGGAAAGCTCAGTGATGCCTTTGAAGTGAAAACAGGAGTAAGACAAGGCTGATTGTAGTGAACTGGATCATGCAGCAAACCGTGAGGAGCGAGAAGAGTGGCACATGCTGGCTGGACCGATGATGATTCACGTCTAATGTCACGCAAACTCGAAGATCTACAGGTGAAAACTAAGAGGTTGACAGAAGAGGTAGGCGGCAAAGATGGGACTTCAAGTGAATGTTGAGAAGACAAAGGTGATGAAGATACCTTACCATTAACAACAACAACAGCAACAAACACGGAAGGCATTTCCAACAGCTGCCACCTACGCCTAGGCTCACTCGATGCTGCCACTGAAGATCAGATCAGATTAGATTAGGTTAGATTAGATTACATTGGATTAGATCAGATGACCAGAATAGAATAATAAGAATGAGCAACAAGGAACTCTGGCTGGCTGACTGGCTAGCTAGCTGGCGACGAACCAACCAACAACCTATCACCCAACGTGTATGCAGAAGTGGAAAGTGGAGATGGATTTGGCATACACTGAGAAGGCCGATTGGGGACATCACGCACCTGGCCATACCAGGCCAGGTCAGGTCAGGTCATGCCAGACCGTTGAGTGGAATCCAAATGGGAAACGAGGAGTTGGTTGTGTGAATCGAGGGTGACATGGAGGAGATGATGTGATGAAGAGATGAAAGGTAGTGGGTATTGTTGTAGTGAGTTTCAGAATAGTGTAGATAAGAGAGTGCAATGGAGGCGTGCTAGTGAAACGGTATGTTCCACTAGGAGCCCAAGGGAAAATAATAATAATAAGAAAGCTATGGGAAACTTGAAGGGATTGGATCATTGTCTGGTCTTCAGGTTAAGCCTATACACTCATCTTTCAATCAATTTTTTTATGGGTTAGAAACCGGCGTAAAATTATTCATAATCCAAACAGTATGAAATACTGAAGAGTTCGAGGATAGTTAGAAATACTCCTGTCCAACTCTCAATACTTGTTTTTATAAGGTTAACTGGTGATCACCACAATCACATTGTATGGCGTAAAATCTCTTTATAAAATAAAATCAAGATAACGATAATTTACTCACTCTTTCTGATGCTGTTACAAGACCATAAACAGCTGGTGGAAATGGTTTACCTATTTGTAAAATTCCACAAGCTTCACCAATTGTAATGTCAACTGATCGATTACTTGCCATAATCTTCACATTGGTATTATTTCTCTGTTTCTCGATTAGTTTACCATCTTGTACCATTATTTTACCATGCAGAATAACTAGAATTGGTCGTCCAACATTAGAATGTGTTAAACTTTCATCTGGCCATAAAATTAAATCAGCATCTGATCCTGGATGTAGATGTCCTTTATTTGGATATAAGCCTGAATAACGTGCAGCACTAGAAGATACAACACTGGTGAATGATGATGCATCCAGCCATCCAGATGGCTAAAATACATACAGTAAGAATAATCAGTAGCATATTTTAATAAATGGATGCTTAACACTGAGTTCAAGTTCTAAAAAAATGTTTCGTCCTATTTAGAACTCATCAAGCACATGTGCTCACATCTCAGTGAGTGATGGTGTTCCTACTGAGACTGGAGTCTACCACTCACTTCATCAAACACTAGAGTGTTTGTTATCCACTAGGCTACTGAGTTACAAAATGTTCATCTTGGACTCCACTGCTACCCGCCAGCAGGTATTCGATTCTTTCCCAAAACCTTAACTGCTGGACAAGCTGACCGAGATAAATAGTGAGTCTCAATAAGTGGAACATTAAATTTTGAGGTTTATGGAAATTTATTACTTGATTTCAGGTTGAAATTCATCATTGATTGACATCAGTTGGGGGAATATTGGAATAATGGACAGCTGTATCGTCCCACTAGTATGCGACTCTTCAGCAGTCGGCATCCATGACCCTACTATGGATCGAACCCGGGACCTTCAGATACCGTTGCCAGCACGTTGCCGTTGAGACACTTGATAGGAATCGAATGGTCGATATTTCCAGCTTCTGTCAGTTGACGACATAGCGCGACCCCCACCTAATATCATCGTTGAGTATTTGTCGTCACATGCACCAGGCTTTCCTCGCTGGTTACGACTTCTCATTGGAACTTCGGGGATCATCTCTCGAAGCTAGTCACCAATAAGTACTAGATTACGTAACAATTAGCATTTGTCTTTTGTGTTCGCCCGATTTTCCTCCCCTACATAATGATTATTTGACGCTTATTAAACAAACACATACATACACATTCATGCTACAATAAATGTATGTAAATGAATCATTATCTGTAGATTTCGTCTCCTTAATTCATAATTGTTCTGTCCATATTGATTTCACTAGACAATTAACCCACTAAACTGATTCCCATTTCACCATTCTATTTGATTTGATCTCCATTACCCCTTAACACTGACTGTTTCAAAACTGAAATAATTTTACATCATATAAATTTTGAATAGTGGCTAGCAGTGGAATCCAGTTTGACGCACATTTCGTCTTTCTTCGGATCTGTCAGCTGGATGTGCCTGCCTCCCAGTGAGTAATGTTGTTCCCGCCGGGGTTCGAGCTCCAAACCGATTGCTTCAAGCAATTAAGACTATACCCATTGCACAAGAAATGGTTATCATGGCTTGATGATCTAGTGGTTAACGCCTTCATCCCGAGTTTGAGTCCTGGTGGGAACAACATCACTGACTGGGAGGCAGGTACATGCAGCTGATAAGTCTCAAATAGAACGAAACGCATATCAAGCTGGATTCCATTGGTAGCCACTATCCATTATGAATATACAATTGAAACACAGGCAATATCGAAGCATCCGTGCATGCTTAAACTTTAGCTGATGTATTTCACCAATTCTCATGGATTTATATAACTGTAGAGCCTGAAGAGAAAATTACTGAGAAATAATTTTCAGATCATATTATTCTGGTTACTGAATAATCGCCTTGAATCTTCCCAGTTTTATCATGTTTTATAGTTTCTTAATCTTCTTCTTAATTCCTGTGTGGCCAATTTTCGCCTATTTTATATCTATCCTAACCCAATAGCCTAGTCGATAACACTGATGTTTGATATGATAGGCAGTGAGTTGGAGTTCCAGTAGGAAAAATATCAATCATTAGGAGGCAAGTACACCCAGCTGATGAGTCCTAAAATGGGACGAAGAACTTTATTCTCTTTCTTTTCTGTTTTCTAAACGCGAGTAGTTGACTGTTTATACAAGCTCATAAGCAACTTCAACTTTATCTCAGTTTGTTTTGCTTTCAAATGGTGGTTATTTATAAAAATTACATTTCTCAGAGAAATAAGATCACATAGAAGTAATAGGAATGTTATTCAGTTGAAATTTTTTGTACTTCTTCAATGTGTACACTAAATAAGATTACATCATTTGATCAGTTAAAGTGTGTAATATTTCAACTTACTACTGAAGCCTCCCATACAATTGTTAGCCTTTGTCCAATTGTTCTTGAATGATTTGATTGACTTTCACATTGATCACTTGAAAATGATATGATATCACCATTGGTTAGTTGGTGTAAAAATTTACTGGCATATTGCTGAGTTATTCAAACAGACAGAAAAATGAAGAAGAGAGAGGATGAATGAACAGAGAAGAGGAGATTTCAAAGAGATTGACTAGGTTGTTTTTCTTGTATTTAACAGTTTAACTCTCCCTTTTCGCGTGTCGTTCGATATTGGCCAGCAACTGAATTCAAGATGCATAAACCTTCTTATTTTGGCATAGAATTACGGGTCATTAGTTAAGGTAGTTGACTTTCAAGCTGATATTCATCTTCACTATATGGACTACTGGATTCCGACATAGTGGTTGGCCACGGAACCTAAATGTCCTGGGTTCGACCCCTGGTGGGCCAGGGTCATGGGCGCACACCACTGAGGAATCATATACTGGGACGAAACACCTACCCACTACTCCTTCATTTCCAACGTCCCTCCAACTAATGTCACTTCATGATGAATACCAACACGAAACCGCTAAATCTCAACAAACCACCATTGGTGACTAGCTTCCAGAGGTGATTCCTGAAGTCCCTATAAGAAGTCATGACGGGTGGGACAAGGGTGGTGGGTGTGAGGAAAAATACTCAACGACAACGTTGTATGGAAGTCGTCCTATATCGTGAACTGACAGAAATTGGAAATATGGACCGCTGGATTCCAACGCAGTGGCTCGACGGTAACATGTTTGCTGTGGAGCCTGAACGTGTTGGTGCGATACCCGGTTGGGTGGGGTCATAGGTGTACGCTGCTGAGGATTTTCATACTAGTGGGATAAAACAGCTGTGCAGTGTTGCCAGGTCTTCAATGCTCCTCCAACTGATGTTACTCCATGATGAATACCAACTTGAAATACGTCACATTGCAATTTAAACTACAACAAAGAATGTAACCAATGAGTTTAGCGTCGATATCTGAGATCTTAAGTTTGCTATGTTAGCTACATTGATTCTAGGAGAGAAAATTCCATCGGATTTCATTAAAAGAATTATATTTCAATAAAGTAATCAACAGATATTGGCAAATATGATACGCATAATAGTTTGCTCCATTTTACTCTTCAATCGCTAACTGTAAGCATTGAATGTGGATAATGTGAGAGAAGGATACATCCATTTAATTTGGTCATTATTCATTCATAACACTGATTGTTTCGATATTAAAGTAATCCTAGTGTATGCCTTACGTTGGCGATTATATTTCACCAATTCTTATGGACTTATAATCATCAAGTCTGAAGAGGAAATTATTGGAAAAAGATTTTCAGCTCAAAATATTCTTGTTGCTGTGTAATTTATAGACAGTATAGGTGTTAATCATAGGTGGCTTCAAAATATTGATCTCGTGTACTTGTACCATGAAGTGAGTGACTGAGTTGAATGAATGAATGAATGAATGAATGAATGAATGAATGAATGAATGAATGAATGAATGAATGAATGAATGAATGAATGAATGAATGAATGAATGAATGAATGAATGAATGAATGAATGAATGAATGAATGAATGAATGAATGAATGAATGAATGAATGAATGAATGAATGAATGAATGAATGAATGAATGAATGAATGAATGAATGAATGAATGAATGAATGAATGAATGAATGAATGAATGAATGAATGAATGAATGAATGAATGAATGAATGAATGAATGAATGAATGAATGAATGAATGAATGAATGAATGAATGAATGAATGAATGAATGAATGAATGAATGAATGAATGAATGAATGAATGAATGAATGAATGAATGAATGAATGAATGAATGAATGAATGAATGAATGAATGAATGAATGAATGAATGAATGAATGAATGAATGAATGAATGAATGAATGAATGAATGAATGAATGAATGAATGAATGAATGAATGAATGAATGAATGAATGAATGAATGAATGAATGAATGAATGAATGAATGAATGAATGAATGAATGAATGAATGAATGAATTGTTAATGAGTGCATGAGTTTACCAAGGATTACCAAGGCAAATTAGGTGAAACAACAAATTGCTCTTGTACACACAATGGTTGCCTTAAGTTTACAAATGACTAACGGTTTGACAAATTTTAGTATGCGTCCCTGACTATTCTTTATGATTCATTTCGCCAATTTGTATGTGGCAGACTGATATATTGACAATATTGGAGGTAGTGAATTATGAATTTTTGGAAGTCTGTATAGGCTTCAAAGATACTTTTGTACTTGTTGACTGTTTTACTGATATGAATATTAGAGACAACAGTATGTACTCCGTTGATATCAACCCCCAACGAAAACGGTAAATATTCTTTGAGATCATATATCATCGAATTATGTTTCTTCCCCTATTTCTCTAATACATTTGAAAGAGTTACTTTTATTATGTACTCATAAGGTTCATTTCACTTTGGAAGGAGAACACTTTCGACAAATTGATGATGTTGCTATGAGGAGTCTGTTAGGACCATTATTGGCAGATGTATATATATGTCACACATTGAACTAATGGCTCAGGATATAATCAGTAATATCACATTCTATAGAGGGTATGTTGGTGATATCATTGTAATACGTGACACAAATGTGGATGCCGGGGAATTGTTAAAAAGGCTTAATACCGTAAAAGATCAAATCAACCTGCAATGTGAGGAAGAAAATGGTCACCAACTTCCATTTTGTCATATTCTGTTGTGTCGAAGAGAAGATGGATCTAACAGATGATCAATTTATAGAAAGTCTACTTGGACACAACAGTGCTTAAGTTTCTACAGTTTTTGTCCAATAAAATATAAGACAAGCTTAGTAAGATTTTTATTCCATAGGATCCAACGTATCTGTACATTTAATACAATGGGTGATGAAAGGAAATTTCTAACAGATACACTTAAGGAAAATGGATATCCATTACAGTTTCTGAGTCGTTGTAGAAAACAGCCAACCCCGAAGGCTATAGTTTCCTCGTTCCCTAAGAAGCATCCATTTCTTAAAGTACCATACGGAGAAGAAACGAATAGTATGATATTGAAACAGAGATTGAAATCTGGTAATCAGTAAAACATATTATGCAGCTCAGTTAATCACTATTGTGACAACAAAACACCTTCTTCGCCATAAACCTCAACCTTACAAAAATGATTATGTCACATCCCACTGTGTTTATCAATTTACATGTATGTGTGTGCCCAAGCAGATACATGGGGAGGAGAATTGTTCAATGCAGACTAGGGGGGGGGGAAGGGAACACATAAACCTTGACAAGTGCAGGTGACAGACATCCATTTTTATCTACAGCAAAACATATCACATCGAAATGAATCATAAGGTTAATACAGTTCAAGATATTATACAGGAATAGTCAGTGGTGCATACTTAAATTTGCCTAAAAGGTAGCCAGTCGTAAACTTAACGTCTCCGTTGTGTGTAAGAAAACAATTGATAGAATAGAATAGACAGGAAGACAAGGATAGACAACATGAAGTTGGTTAGTCTTCAGTGACCAATCAATGTACTGAATCTTGTCATACAGATGGTTGATTGCGACTGAATGGTAACATCTCCGACTGCAACACTGAATAACACGGATTCGAATCTCATTCAAGACATCAGTTACATCTAGGGTGTAGACAAGTAGTAACAAGCACGTATAAAAACCCAGACTGAGTAGGGCTTTCAGCCGATTTCTTCCATCCAAGTAGCATTCAAAATTATTACGAAACAATACAGTACTGTCCTAATTCTCTCTTCGATAGCCAGTGCAATCAGACGGTTAAAGGCTGACCTTTTCACTCAAGAAAGAATAAGTGATTAACTTTTAGTTACCTTGGTAACGATGCCAGCGATCACATTTATTTTCGTTTTTTGTAGTAACTATGATGATAATTTAAAAATCCATTGAACTACCAAGTGTTGCTGTACTATTATGCAGAAGTTTATCGATTCCGACCTGATCAGTCTGTAAACAGCTGAAGAGGATATAACCAAATAATGTTCGAAATATACTCAGCAACCTTGTTCACATATTCACATAGGAGACAGTGAGTTACACCTCTGTAATATGGGGGCTAATAATACTGCCACCTGGCTGCCTAAACCTCAGTAGGTGGAGTGCGGCTTGAACCCGTGACTCATTGGTTGAAAGTTAAATCGATTTGGGGGTTTGTCCGGGTTTATTGATTTCAAGCTGGTGTTCATCATGGAGTAACATCAGTTGGAGGAGCATTGAAGACCTGGCAACACTGCACAGCTGTTTTATCCCACTAGTATGAAAATCCTCAGCAGCATACACCTATGACCCCAACCAACCGGGTATCGCACCAACACGTTCAGGCTCCACAGCAAACATGTTACCGTCGAGCCACTGCGTTGGAATCCAGCGGTCCATATTTCCAATTTCTGTCAGTTCACGATATAGGACGACTTCCATACAACGTTGTCGTTGAGTATTTTTCCTCACACCCACCACCCTTGTCCCACCCGTCATGACTTCTTATAGGGACTTCAGGAATCACCTCTGGAAGCTAGTCACCAATGGTGGTTTGTTGAGATTTAGCGGTTTCGTGTTGGTATTCATCATGAAGTGACATTAGTTGGAGGGACGTTGGAAATGAAGGAGTAGTGGGTAGGTGTTTCGTCCCAGTATATGATTCCTCAGTAGTGTACACCCATAACCTTACCCCACCTAACTAACAAGTCCTAAATAGGACGAAACGTGCACCCTGGACTCCACTACTAGCCACTAAGCAGACAATAATATATTGGGTATTCGGGCAATGTCATAGCGTCCGTATAAGAGCTTATCAGCCAACAACGATCGAGCAATTTGACTCTATATAACAACAACGCGAAATTACAAGTATTATATAACACACTGACTGTCTTTATCGGATTATGTGGATTATCAATGAATGCATGACTCAAAAGCTGAATACTATTCTACTTAAAAATCACCTTGTTATCTTTTTGTTTCTTTTCTTTTAAATAAATGAAAAACCACACACAAATGATCACACTTCTCATATTTCAAAAATGAAATATTTCATTTTTTTTATA